CCCCCCCCCCCCCGTCCCCAGCTCTCCAGGAGAAAATCGTCGATGCTACCCTACCCCGCCAGGAAGAGGGTTTGGTTTGCCGTCGCGCGAGCAGCAGAGGTGGAGGGAACGCTTGCTTGCTTGCCACGGTGTGCTTCCCGACTTGTTTTTGTTTTTTGTCATTCCGTCTCTTTGGTGCACCCCCCTTGTTTTACCAAGTTTTAGGCGTTTTCTCGATCAACCTTACAAAAAGCGAACGAGTAGGTAGGCGTCGTTGCCAAGGAAGAAGCGAGCTTGCTGCGAAACACGCAAGATGGAGCAGTGACATTTTCAGCCATATTCGATCAGGTGTACGGTATCTCATAGGTATGTATGGTGTCCGCAGAGGCGGTAGATATCCTGTCGTCGAGAGACTGGTGGGGGTTGGGGGGCGGTAGCGTGTTTGTTTCTCGTGCGGTGGTTGAGACGGCGCCTGCTGTTGTTTTCCCGATTGTCTCTCGTCGAAATAAATGGCCACCGGGTGTCCGCCATCATCGTCGTGTGCTCTATGGTAGTGTACTGCTGCGTACCACGAGGAGGGTGTCTGTTTGTTTGCAGACGCGTGCTTGTGGTCAGGCCAGTGATTTGGCATCCTTCATCCAGTATTTGTTTAGCGAGCGGTAAATTTTGTCAAGGTTTGCTTGAACGTTGTCTGACAGCTTTTGCCCTAGTACAACTACGTGTATTTTTATCATGATGTGTTGGTACCCCTTGTTATTCCTGCGTGCAGTCAGTTGGTAAGAAGGATCAGTTCAGTTCAGTTCAGTCGGTGGGATGCCTGGACCGCCTTTTGAGAAATACAATTCCATGAGGGAAGCCAACAAGCAACACGTGGGGGCATCATCACTTGTTTTGAGGTGCCGCATCCTTCAGGAGTATGTGATGTTGAGAGTTTCACCTAGTTTTTTGTCTTTTTGGTGGTAGTACTCGCGATATCATGCACCACGCCGATCTCGAGTTGCTCACCGCCGAGCCCAAGCGGCCACGTTTGTTAGTGCCCGCGTCGTTTTGAGGCAGGCTACTACTCACTTGCGGTTGTTGGCCTTCGGTGACCATGCAGCGCTCGCCTTGAAGAACATCATCTTGTTAGTTTAGGTCGTGGCGGGCGTTCTTCGTCCCTATGCGTACGGTTTCGCCACAAATGACCGCTTATTAAGTAATAGGTTTTGGTGGAGGCGGGATTAGCGGGGACGACATGTAGCTTGCTTTGTTGCCGGTTCAATCAAGCAAATTGCGACCGGACTCTAGTTGTGAGCGAGTGCTGGGCGATGGAATCAAAACCGGTAACTGGCGCCCTCTGAGCTCTCCCGCAGGAAGCGAACAATGACACCGCTGGCTTCGAAAACGAACCATCTTGCCAACACACAACGGTCCTCAATCAAGTTCGAGTATTCTTTGTTTTCCCAGGCTCAAGTTATTTTCCCCAGGTGCGGGATTTACTGTACACCACCGCAACAGTAGCCCATCACACACTCTGTCTCGGTCTCCCAACCATACCCACCCGTCTCGATGATCGATCGATCTCCAAGATAATAAGGATCGTAGATAGCAGTAGTGTTGTCGGAGGTGGGAGGAACAGGGGTAAATGCCAAGTGGGTGGCCCAGTTCGAAAACGCCTGCCGCACATGAATGCTAGCATGAATGCTAATTTATCCACGTCCCTACCCTGCTCCTAGCAGCGATCAACAGTGGATAAACCCGAGGGAAGGGTTAAAGCTATAATAGGGTACACCGACCGACGATGATATAGAATCGTACCTCCTGCGACGAACAGCAACACAGGAAATTGAAGGTTTCAAGTGTGGCTGACCGGCCATACAGACCAACGCACACTCAAAGAGAGATAATATGCGGGCGCCACTGTAGAGTAGCTAGATAGCTGCGACACGGGCTCGCACATCAGCAGCAGTGAGTGCTACTATTTAGCCGTTGGCATGGTCATGTTGCCCGACCACCATGAGCTACACAGACCGAAGCCTAGGCAAGCAATTTTAATGCAGATATGGTTTCAGAGGTGATGTATTTCGTGCAGAAGGCAAGTATGTGCCCAAACAACCCCCCCTTCCAGCTGACACTCGGTTTGTTGCTGAGAAAACTTGGGCAGAAATATTTTCATCTTGCATGCACGGTAGGGGAATCACCGCATCTGATGACACTTTTGGGTAGGGAAACATCCTTTACGCAAACCGGTCGGTCGCGTCCTATTTCGCCGCAAGACCAGCGAAACAGGACTGACTACAGGAGGATGCGTTCTTCTCCCGAAAGTGCAAGATTCCAATCCAACTGTGCACCCTCCTACCTACCGTAGCAGAGGACAACGACACATCGTTCGTGTAGATAATGTTTAATGAGGTACAGGCCCTTGCCGCCGGCTGTGAATGAATCTTGATCCTTCCACTTATATTAGACTATAGAGGACCTCCAGCTGCGTCATATATTCGATCTGGCTCCGCCACTCATCCCCAGCAATAATATTATCTACCGCCAATCAGCCCCTAGATCCCCGCACAGATACTAATACACGTTCTGCCAAAATAATCAGAAAAGGGGTGTACGGGTAACGCCCCCCCAAAGCTGGCTGGTCTCATCTACAGCAGTAGTGCAAGCAAACTCAAGAAATGCAAACAGAAACTGCCCCTCTACCACAGTGCTAACAGAAACAGCACCGAAACAGAAGCATAACAGGCAAGGGCAAGACCTGACCGTCCCTCAAACTTCCTTCTTCTGCAGGTCTTGTTTCTTAGAGCAAGCCCCGATCCATCTGCCCAAGCATAACGACGTGTCCTCTTTACTTGTATCATACTTATCATGATCTATCGTATCGAGTCAACAATCATTTTTTTATTGATAGGCCGTTAAAACAAACGCATAATTCGCCAAATTAAAGCTCGAAGAGCTCATTTCGCAACAGCAACTAAAATACCAGCGCTTTTACGTTGCACACACGCGCGCGCTACGTACTGGTGTTGATTCCCTAGTTCACTTTGTTCGTTCTGAGAGATTAAAAGACATGGAAAAGTAAACAAAAACACACCAGCCCTCGAAAACTTGTGCTTGTTTCGCCCCTTGTTGTGCGCAGGGTCTAGGGGGGCCGCGGTATCTGCTCCTGCATAGACACCAAGCCCCAAAGCTTTTGATGATATTAAATCACACAGCAGAAAGACCGTCAGTTTTCTGCAGAGAAACACTACATTTTTCTCCTGCTTCAAGAAAAAATAAACAGCATCCAGCTTTATAGGTCATCCATCCATTAGTGGTCGGAGAGACGCTGAATATTCGCCTTCTCTCCAGGCCAAGCCGTAACCTTGGCAAGTAACCAACATGACATTTCCTCGACCAAAGCCGTGCCCGAAACCACTGAGTTTTTTAACCCGTACTCCGTCCAATCATACACGAAGCGACCACCTTGCCTTGCACCCTATTTTACAACAAGAAAAAAAAGCTTTAAGACTAGCGGTCTACCCGCCTTTCCGACGAGAGCTTTTCAGTCAGCGCAAGTCGAGATAAACTTCGTTACGCGAACGCGATCTCGACGTCGGTCGAGTTATTCACGCCCATTTTCATCAGCCAAAAAGGTTACAGTGTTTATTCATGCCATGGCGTGTCTACATACCTGACACTGCCCTTGCCGAGAGATTTGTCATCAACGTCAACTTTATCTCATCTGCCGTAGTATTCACGACGCGGACAAAACCCTCCCCCAACCAAACGACGCACAATACGCCCCAATCTGAGGGTTGTGAGTTGAGAAACAGACGAAATAGCCTCCACACTGACACGTGAATGAAATGACTGAGGACCACTCCACGGACACGGTCGCTTCGGCCTTTGCGAGGAACGAATGACTCCGGCCAGGCACCAAGAGGGCACCAGAACAAGGGGGCGATCTTACGATGAAGCAGTCGATCCGCTCTTCACGAATGTAGACAGGCGGAAACAACACACTCAAACCTTGACAGGCATGCTGGGGTACGTCAACCAAACGCCCACGTACGATAAAAAAATACCATGCGACAGCACCTCTAACTATGGTACAACTGTGATCGATCGTCAGTTGGTGAGTGCCGCTGATGGTGCTAGTTGCGAATGAACAGCATCCTTGCCACACTGGAATTCCACCCAAACGCACTTTCGAAGGCGGGTTCGTGGGGCTGGTATCCATGCGTCCCGGCTGGTGGGACGGTAATTATCCATTCGTTCCCGTCGGTGGGACAGTTACTATCAATTCGTTCCGGTTGGCGGGACGGGTATTATCATATCGTTCCCGGGTTGGCGGGACGGTTATACTCCATTCGTTCCGGCTGGCGGGACGGTAATTATCCATTCGTTCCGGGGTTGGCGGGACGGTTATTATCCAATCCCTTGTCAGTGGTGGTCGGAGCAAACGGAGTCGCTCCGGCCGTGTCCCCCTCCCCTCTCCTTCCCCGGCACGACCTTGGACGTCACGTATGGCCCCCTGTGCGACCGCACGACGCTGCTGCTGTAGGCGTACACGCCCTCGGGGTTTCCGCAGTTGCCGCCGTGCTGTTGGGCGGTGGGTGGGGAAGGGGGGGGTGTTTAGCGTTGGGTTTCTAGGACACGTCCTTCAATTATTGCCAGGGGGGACGCATTGTTTCCCGTGGTTAAAACCGCAAGAGGTCCCGCGGTTAACCTCAAGAGATCCCGAGGTCAACCGCAAGAGGTCCCGCGGTCAACCACAAGAGGTGCCGTGGATAACCGCAAGGGGGAATCAAAATGTCCTAACTTCGACAAACGAGGATACAGCAATATGATGATGACGCCATAGCCAATGGATGGGTGGGGATGGGTCCGAGCTCACACCACTTGGATTGATTCGAGCAGCTCAAGACTTCGGATGACATGTGTTTGATATGTCGTCTTGACAACATACACACCGACGGGAATACGTGAACATCCGGCACCCACCAGATAATGGTGACGACACGGCAACGACGACAGCAGCAGCAGCAACAACAACAACGACCCTGTCGGTGGCTGAGGACAACAACACCAGACACTATTGCGTCAATCTCGCTGAGTCATAGTTCTCTGGGGGGAGCTAGAACAGCTCTTTCTTGGGGTTCCAAAAGCCATCCGTCCGTTCACCATTTCACTTCCTCGGGGGAAGGTCAAGGGACTTCAAGCGTTGACACTCAACCGTTGACAAGACCTTTTGTGTTTAAATGGATCCTTCATTGCACTCGAGATTGTGGTGAATGTTTAGTCTACTTACGTGGGCGTCCTTCTCTCCGATGCTCGGGCCTTTGCAGCAGCTGCACAGGTCGGCGTGGCACTCCACCCCTGCGGATGACGCCAACGACAACGATAACGCCAACGACAGCAACGACAATGATGACGTCAGCAATCACATCTCATCCAGCCAAGGATTTACCACATTAATATAACCTCAACAAACTCGGAAGAATCGTCGACGTTCGGTTCGACGTGTGCATACCCCAGCGTAACGTGCCTTGTGACCACAAAATATTCCAACCAACCAGCATGTACAAGGCTTGGCGCATCATTGGCGGTGTATCTGAGGCATGTAAGAGTTATTGACAGCAGCGATGACCGAAATATGAGTACTTTCTTGGGAACTCTCTTGAGAACTCTCTTGAATCCTCTCATGGCGTAATCCAGCCAAAGACAATGCCCGGCACCAAAACAGAGACATCCATTGCTTGGCTTGGACGGACGCTTTGGCAACCGCGGTCTTGGGGGAGAACTTTCTTGACAACTTTCTTTAGAATATGTGTGAGAATTGTCTTGAGAATTTTCTTGGCAACTCGTTGCGCATTTGAAACGACGCAAAAAAATCAAAACAGACCGAACAGAACAAGGACATTCACGGCGTATCGTTCGTACCGTCTTGCACGCATTGGCACTCCTCTGAGCGGCAGACTTTGAGAGCCTTTCCTCCGTTCTTCTCCTCATCCTGCCGCATGGCCTCTTGCAGGACCTTGACCAGATCCTTCTTCGACCCTGACGCCTTCAAACCCCTGAAGTTTGTCATTATCCATTGTCATTGTCGTTGTTGGTAGCGAACAACGAAGAGCAGAGGGAGGCAGTCAGGCTCGGTATGTAGAAGCTAGAATTTTCGAAGAAAATTCGACCTCTCTCTTGTCCCCATGCCACGCCAAGGAAGTTGACTGATCAAACAACAAAAACACACCAACAAAGGGCCAATAAAATAGAAAGAACGTCATAAAAATTTCTAGATCCGATCGAAAAACACTACTGCCTTCTGCTCTCTCCCAACTCGCCTCAATTGGACCTATTTAGCTCTATATCCCACAGTCTCGCAGACTACGTGTCTTCGCAATCACAGTTGAAGTAGGAATCGCACATTTGGAAATCGCAATCGCAATCTGGAGTTTGATTGGTCGAAGCGGACACTAACTACATTTGAACACGAAATCGAGTCGGTCTTCACAAGGCTACCAGGTTACAAGGGTTAGTTTAGCACTTGCACCTTCGGCGACTCCTGTCCTAACCTTGCCTTAGTTAGGACTATTGTAGCTACAGCTGAAACACTCGCCGTTTCGTGAGCTCGGCCCGAAGCTTGGCGAGGTTAAGCTTGTCCGGACGCACGTGGCTGCAGCTGCATCCCTGGCTGTTTTGCCTGCTATCTCTCAGCGCGGTAAGCTCGACGGAGGCTTCTTGGGACTTGTCCACGAAGTCCGCGTGCGACACCTGTTTAAATGTGTCGCGCCGGGATTTTGTTTTGTTTTTGGTGGACAAGCAACGACACTTTTTTGTGTGTTTCGGCGGATATTTTTTTGTCTTTTTTTGTTTTCGTTGTTCTCTCCTTTCGTGCAGCATACGATACGAGCAGCGTTCTTGCCGTGCTGATATCATACAAAGTATAACGGAGGGGGGGGGGGGGGGTTCAATAATAAATATCAGNGGGGGGGGGGGGGAGGTTCAATAATAAATATCAGCACACAGAGCTTCTGTGTGACCACGGATTGGAGCAAACGGCACGTGCTGTGAGCGCTGATTTGCGTCGGGGGTGACGGTGGTGATGCTTGTGGTAAAGCCTGCTGGTAACCTTGTGTACTAAAATAAAACCGGTTCACGTTGGAAAGAGGGGCTGCGAATATGCAAAAGGTGGCAGCCGGGGGATGGGGGTGGGTGAACTCGTGAAAATGCATGCTGTAGACGTGAGACCATTGACCTCGCATCCCTACAATACGGGACAAAGGAGCGAAATATTCCTGGTTTACCCCGGCCCAGGCTACGGTTCACAAGGATGACCCAGACGCCGGTCATCATTCTTGCATTTGAAGCACGCGCGGGCGGGGGGAGGAGGGTGATGACGGCGATTTTGCGGAGCCTTCTTGTGAACGTGTCCGTTACCCAAACGCACATCACACCACTGGGGTGTTTGCCATCGACGCCAAACCTTACTTGTGTTGAGCAAAAAGAGAAAAACTTCGCGTGCGTACTTATGCTGTTGTTTTGCTCACTGCGGCTTAACGACCATACCACGTCTTTCATCAGGCGGCGTTACCTTGTGGCTGTAGGCGTCGAAGTCGCTGGTGCTTTTCCCGCCCGAGCCATCGATGTGGCTGTTGTTGTCGCTAGCGCCGGCGCTGTCGTCAGGAGTTTGCACAGCTTCATTGTCTCTGTCAGCCTCTTCCAAGTCCGACTTGTGGAAGCAGGCGTAGTCGAGGAGAATCTTGCTGTTAAAAAAACAACAACAAAAAACCAAACAAAGAAAAACCGTTCAGAGAAATAACACGGAAAAAAAGAAAACAAAGGAAGATCAAAGAAGACGAGAAAACGTAAGAGGGGATGAAACATGCACACGCGCAACATCGACAACGACAACAACAGCAGCAGTAGCAGCAGCAACACCGGCAGCAACAACAGCAACAACAACAACAACACTGAAACATGCCTGCGCTCCTTCTCCCCTAGGCGGTAAAAAAGCGGGTTCTTCTCCCCCACCGGGCGGTAGTCGAACTGACGAGTTTCGCCCGTAGACAGATGCCGCTGCTTCCTGGAAAGCTCCGAAGTGCGCTCTTCGAGGATCTGCCATTTTGCAACGTTTCGTTAGCGACACATACAGTCAGTGCATCAACAATACTACCAGGAGGATGACTTCAAGTGTCGCCTGGCACCCCACCCTGTCGCGAACACCCGCATCGGGCGTCGCTATGGCTATAACCGGAGCAGGGGCAGCACATGCGGCAACCCTATGTTACGTAATTCCACAAACCATCCTGCCACCACCACAGTCGTCAGGGGACAATGCGGGTCTGGGTGCGGTCATCACTGATACCACGGGAGACGAAACGCTGCCGTCGGTCTTTCTCATGATAAACCGTTCCGGTACTGCTCAGTACCTTCTGACATGCGTATCGGTCCAACTGACGCGGACGCCTTCCGTAGCCACAGGCCAACAACTACCCAAACAACAGGGTTCGCGCTCCCAAAACCAAGAGGACATGAACGTGGACTCGGGAAAACTGAAAAAAAGAACTAAAAGAGTGAAAAATGTCTTCTCAGTTCGACACGGCCATGCACCCTTGTGCCTACACATACCGCGCCGTTTCTTTGTCGCTTCGTATCATACCACGTAACTTCCTCGCATGAAAAAGCAAGCCATTTTCTTAACCAGAGTGCCTCTCACCTCAGTCCTAGAGGCCTCGTAGCCGTCCACATCTACCACGGTTTCTCGAAACGGCAGGCCCAGAGCGAGCCCCCACGTCCCATCGCTCGGGACCCCGCAGCCACCCACGTCCCGCGTAAACTCGACGAGGTTAACTCGGCCGAAGGAAACACTCAGCTTCTTCCCGCCCTTGGCGCGCTTAGCCTTGATCCTGCCTGCCGCCGCCCCGTTCAGGGTGCGGCATGGCTCTTGTTGCCCTGACGACGACTGCAACATCGGCTGCGTGCTGGCGGTCTTGTTCTCTGCTGCCACTGACGGGAGGGAGGAAGAGGCGTTCTTCGTGGGCTTAGCTCCGCCGCCGCCGCCGCCGCCGCCGCCCTTGCCCTTGCCTTTGTTCTTTTTCTTCTTCTTGGAGCCGCCGCCCCCAATCGTCTTCGTCCCGCCGCTGTTAGCCTTCGCCGCGACGTTGCCGCCGGGGCCTGTTTCTAGCCACTCCATGCCCTCTGCGTCACCGCCCGCTGGGGCCGGGGCTGGGGCTGGGGCAGCAGCAGCAACAACAGCAGCAGCAGGAGGAGAGCAGGTGCCACAGGGCGAAGCACCTTCACCCCTGCCCCTGTTGTCCAGACAAGTGACGTCGCCATCGCTGTCGCTGGCGTCGCTGTCACTGGGGCTGGGCGGGGCGCCCTTGACCCACCGCTGCCGCCGCCCCCCCGTGACGCCATCGGCGCCAGCAACAGCCATCGTCTCGACGGGTGTCGACGGCACCACCGCCATGTCATCACCACCATCACGTTCGTCTTGCAGGATGCTCGCTTCTCCGGCTTCGCGCGTCTGAGGGGGCAGTGTCGACGCCGGTGCGACAACAGCACCACTACCCTTTCCCGCCGCATGGGCAGGCGCGTTGCCGGTGGGATTCTTGCTCCGTTTGGAAGCGCCGCCGCCGCTGCCGCCGCCGCTGCCGCCGCCGCCGCCGCCCCCGCTGCCGCTCCCGCCTCCCCCAAGGCCCAGCAGGAACCCTCGCGCGAAAGAGCCTACGCGTTTCCCGGTCGCGACGGGTTTTCGCCTCGCAGTGCTTGCGGCAACGCCAACCCTAGGGCTTGCTGCTGCAGCAGAAGCGGGGCTACTAGTTCCTGTGGCAGCAGTACTGTCGTCGGCGACGGCTGCTGCTGCTGCTGGAGTAGCGGCGGAAGAGTCATCCTCGCGATCGGACGGCCAGTGATCCTGCTGCTGCCGCTGCTGCTGCTTGTCCTGATGCCGGCCCCCCCTCTCCTCGCCGCCCCAGGCGGGACTGTCGGGAGGCGGCGTCGGCAGGGGGGTCCCGTGGTTGTGGCGCTTGCTCGAGGGGGGGGACGGCGGCGGCGCGCAGACGCCCAGCATGCTCGCCCACGTCCTCACGCGCTCGTCCCACGTGGTGCTTGGCGGGGTTGATGTCGGATCGGTGCTGCGTGTTGAGGGGGTTCCGCGGTATGCACGAAAGAGTGACAAAAACAACGGGGTATGCAAGTTAAAAATAGCCAGAAAAAAAGGGGGTATTCATGACCGGGACAACAACGGGGGTCCGGAAGCAGTTCGATATAATTTGTCTGCTTCTCGACTATAATATTGCACGTGTTGGAGGGAGTTCCACTACGAGTGAGGAGGATAGGCTACAGGTTGAGGTGGGTCTCAAGGGGGGGCTAACGCAGGTCGCACAAGTTGAAACACCCCCTGCATCGACTTCCAACGCTCGATTCTAGGTACTCTGCAGCAACACATGTGACGGTGCCGAACATGGAGGCCTTGGGACCGTTCTTGGGACCGTTCCGAAAGAATATCTTGTGGATTTTCGCATCCTCCTCATCGTGGAGTATTCTATCGTTCGCGTTCGGTGCAGGGGTACCGTAGGAAACCTACGGTAGCCGAGAACACTGCTGCCGCACGCCACTCTGTCGAGAGCATGCAGCAAGAAACAGCATCCACACCAAAAGCAAACACATTTCCGCTGTTGACTAAACCATCACTGCCGCGAGGACCTTTTCCAGTCCCTTGTCAGTCCTTCCGTGATGTCATGTGCGCGTCAAACTGCGCAGCTTCCATAACCCCATCTTGACATTGTCAGTCCTTCTGCGATGGCATGTTCAGTTCCTACAAACCCACCTGACAGTGAGCCACTTCGTCCTGCCATCCTTGCTCTTGACGAGGGCCATACCGGAGTCTTGGTCGCTCCTCACCAGGGTTGCCGCAGACCCATCTTGTCCCCCCACTCCTTGACCAACAGGCATCGAATGCGATGAGCTTGGCTTGTTGCCTGTGTGCCCGAGCAAGGTAGAAACATGGAATAGGACCAGTAAATTGGAACAAGTCCCGTTTCGGGACACGTGCAAGTTGAGACGAGTTCCGGCAGGAAATGAATGGTGGCAAGGTCAGGACGGTGCGCTGATTAAAAAAATAATTGGCGCGAGTGTTGTGTGTATACTGTGTATCTTCACATCAAAAACCTTCCCGATCTCTGCTTAGGATGTGCCAGTCCTTTGAACATCGTACTCTTGACAAAAAGTCATCCGGTAAATTAAGGCAACTATTTACTTCCAGCACCACTTCGGAAACAAAAAAAGAGAGAAAATACAGGACCCAAAGGCTGTCCACGGCGACCGTTTATTATTGTTCATTGTTGGTCAAGTTTGCCCACACGGTAGCGAACGGTATTTGCCCTGCTGTTGCTAGTGATCCTGGCCTTCGTACGGTGGTAACTGGCACCATGGAACTACCGGCCATAACATATCAGTGAGTTTTTCTCACTAAATAAATCCTGGTCTAGGATGAAAGCGACGCGCTGCAAAGCTCGTTGTTAGTAAACCATAATCGACTTCGCAAGTCGCGAGGGAAGGGATTGCTGTACCCTTCTCGCGATAAAAATACCTCAGGCAGGAACCGCAGGAGGGGGTCCAGCTCCCCCTCCTATGTGACCCCGGTTGGGTCGTCTAGCTAGTATAAATAGAAGTGGAGGATAGGGGCCAGAGGGGCAGACGACAGAGTCCAATGATCGGAGAAAAAAAAAAAAAACTACACTAAAAAAAACAACTTAAATCCGGTACAATGTTCCATCTCATAATAAGCAGAATGAACAATGTGAAGGTTCCATCTCAGGCAGACACCACTGAACGTTAAGGAGGGGGCTTTAACATATCCATCCCCTCGAGTGGAAGGCCATCTCGACCCGGTACACTTCTGTCCTTGTTTCATCGCAATCCTTCTAGCTTAGACTATATCTTGGTCTATAGACCATACACACAAGATTTGCTTCTACAAAGCACAACCCGAGTACCCGAGTGCAAATTGGCGCATGGACAAAAAAGATGGGTCGGGTCTGATGGGTTGTTTGTGTGGGAAATCTAAATGTTGAGTACCTAATTAAGCCGATCGGCAACAGGAGGAAGAAAGGTCCTGCTCACAACAAAAGTTGCATATCGTCTTTTCTGTGATGGAAATCGCGGCAGCCAACTCGCTCGCTGCTGCACTACTGCTACAGCACTACTGCTGTGTGCCAAGGGCGCATAACTCACAATGGCATGGCGCTCCTCCCTCCGGTACATCGCTCGTATTCTAACTCGCTTTGTGGCTCTACCAAGTGGCATCATGTGCTGGATTCCACGATTTCACCACTACTGCTGCTGTAGATGCACGGCAGCAACATCGAGCAATACCGAGTACAACAGCTGTGAGAACACACGCATGGCGGGCGATGCCGGAAGAAGCGACTGGACACCAGCCTGTGCGGGAACACCCCCGTTTCGAGAAGGCGGCGCATTTGTGCCCCCTACCTGCTGCTGAAAGGTCAACTTAACCCGATCAAGCTGGAAGATCTGAGATTGGTTGTTGACTTTGGTTTATCACTACAGCTACAACTGCTTCTGGGTCCCGATTGCGAGAGCGCGCATGATGCACCCTTCGCACAGTTTACTCGCAGTACTCAAACACACCTTTCGCGTTTCCCTTCGCTTGCGCAGGCGTCCTGCCCTCTATCGTTGCTTTTCCGCCCTCTTCTCTCTTCCTCTATCTCAGCGATGGCTGTGCGGCATACCATATACCATATGATGACAGCTGGCATTTTGCATGGAAGAGCCGGAAAAACGGAGTGTACGCCTCCCCCTAGTAAAGGAAGAATACTTTCTGCGTGCCCCCTCCCAGGATGACCAGCATGATACCTGTAGCTGCTGCTGCTCTGTACCTCCTGCTGCTCTGTACCTCCTGCTGCCTCCTGACGCAAGAACATGTTGTGTGCTGTATGAAAAATAAAGTGCGCACTGAGACTGACGTTTGTTTTTGTTGTGTGTAGTCAGAAGACCAACCACGTCGATGGATCGATGGAGGGTTAAATCGTGTTCCCAAGATTCTCGTGTATCCATAACGTTTTCCAAAACCTTTGGAAATCTCTTGTGTAACCGCTTTGCAACAGAACCCACCACACCACCGTAGCTTTGAACAAGGACGCTCATAATTGTTTGTCTCAACAAGTACCCTTATTTAGCGCGAGGAGTGTCCCGAAGGTTCAGGTGACGATAACTCTCCATCCCCGGGGTCAACGGAGCGTTCCGTACAGCGGGAACCTACAGGTAGTTGACCGTACATTGAGGTACGTGTCGCTCGAACGAATGGGAGAGAGAGGCAGGGAGCCTAGCGGGTAAGCTGCGACATGTTGATGATATTGTTGAACTCGATCACTTGAATCTAGGTGGGGGTTTCTCCTGGAGCATGTGCCAGCGATGTATCTCCACACTCATGCGAACTATTTACTAGATCTTTTGTTGCTGGCGGACTACTAGGTGTACACTTACTTGTAACACTTTGTACACGTGTTCAATGGGGTTGAAAAACTGCTGCTGCTGTAGAGTGCGCCGCGTGCACACATGCATACACTTTCGTTCCTTCCGCAAAGAGACAGACAGAGAGTTGCCTGCGCGCCCATCCCGTCCTTGCTGTTACTACTGCAGCTCTCGCCTTGAGTTTCGTAAGCGAATGCCCCTTTCTCGGATCAAGGGCTGGGCGTCGCGGGAACTCGCGAATTCGCCATGTTTTCTTTCCTCTTGCGTACAGGCAGGAGCACATTGATTCACTTCCTCTGAACGAAAGCAGACCTCCGCCTTTATAATCAAGGATGACAACCTGGCCTACCACCGCTATCTTCCTCTTTGCGGGATATGCGTACGTCATGAAACCTCTTGTCGTTTGGCGAACTTGTGCTGCAGAGTCAGTTTTGGGTGTTACCCCAGCCGACACACTGTCTTGGTTCGTCGCTACGACCGTCTACCATACGTCTGTAGCGTAGTGTAAGCTCCACCGCTGGGTGTGTTTCTTCTTCAAATGGTCTTCACCTTCGCCATCTTCCTCCCCACTCACTCATCCCAATCCCCTCCACCTCCATCCCAGCCCCACCAGCTACAACAGCATTCAAGATCAAGGCTGACACGAGGTACGTCACCATTGTCGTCATCCTCACGTACACGTCTTCGGTGCTTGCCCTCGTGGTCGTGATGTGGTACTACTCTGCTCACGGCTAGACGCCTGCCGTCGCAATTGCCGTCGTCATTTCGGAGATTTGCATCATTGGCGACCTGGGCGTTGTCGTCAACGGAGGAGGAGGTGTTTGCTGCCCCGGTCTCGTGCCGATGATCATGATCGTCATGATCGTCATGATCGTCGGTTGACGGACCCCGAGCAGCACTCGCGAGTTTGCCGCTCTCCTCTCGCCTTCTGAGGCTAACCTGCGTCGTGAATGAAGACAAGGTAATATTCACTAGTTGAAGCGACCGCTTTCGTTGTTCGACATACAGAGGATGGCCTGCAGGGCGAGTTCTATCTCCGAGGTGAAACACATCGCCGGATCCCCCGTTGGGTGTCTCCTGTGACACGGTCGCCGAGGCAATACATCCACTCTTCCTCAAAGGGGGGGGGGGGTACAGCACGCGTTAGAACAGAGGCGGTGTGGAGAGCTGACCTGTTTTTGGTCGATTTCCCTCCAAGTCGTCTTCGTTTGCTGTTGCTGTTTTCGTCGTGGTAGGTGGTGGTGATTATCGTGCCTCTCCACCTCTCTTGCGGACGCCCGCAGCCTTTCCAGCTCTTGCTGCTGTGCCTCTAGGACTACCGTCATTTCTTCTAGGCGGAGCGTGGCCGCGGACGTTTCCCCCGAAGACACCTGGCACATCGACGCCAGGCACAAGGCGTCAAGGCAAAAGAGTATCCGCGAGAAATGACCACCTCTGTCTCGTCACTCTTAGGCCTGGAACCAAAGCTGTCTGGGCGTGGATCTCCTAGAGGGCACACAAGCTTGACAAGGATATTAACCAAGCATGTTTTGCGACGTGCTCCATTAAGTTGGGCCTTTATTTGGCAGGTGTAAAATGTGTCTTTGGCCAGGAACTGAAGGGGTGAGGCACTCGAATCCACCTCTTGTAGGCGACGCTCCAACCAGCTCATCTGCCGATCTCGCTCTTTTCCCCTTGCCAGGGCTGCAGAGGTCCTGTCTTCCTGCTCCGCGTTGCGGGCCCTCATCGAGCGCACCTTGTAGGGAGAAATGTTTCGCAACTTTTTCGTAAGCTGTGCTTTACCATAAACATGCTCTGAGTATGGAGACATTGGGCGCACCGTGTAGGGAGAATTGTTTCGCAACTTTTTCGTAAGCGGTGCCTTACCATAAACATGCTCTGAGTATGGAGTACAAGAGCGTCCTTGGGTGAACGACCGCTCCTAGTGTGTGTGCATTGCTCCTAGGAATCATGTTCAATATTGTTTTCCTACTGCTACTACATACGTGAGAGGGCATTTAACTGCGGTAGTTCGAACACTGCATGTGCTACGCTGCTCCTGTTTGCACACCTCATCCTCCTTGGTTGCCAGCAAGTCCATGGCCTCCTTCAATTGTGCCTTGACGGATGACAGTTCTGCCGACAGTCTCTCCTCTCGATCTCTTGCCCTTCGCCGCATACTGTGCACCTACGACATCACCCGGGAGCATGAACGAACGATTTTCGTACAACTGCAAGGACAAGAGTTCGAGGACGAAAACCTCCAAAAAAATCAGAAGGCCCACCTTCGCGGAGGAAAGCAAGACGTTAGGTTAGGTCAGGTTAGGTTAATCAAGGGTTGCTTGTCTTCAAGGTGAAAGATCCGTGCTGGCAGCTTGTTCTTTCTCGATCTAGACCTCTCGTGCTGTGCGCGCTAGCGTTGGCTTCAATTTGGAGCCGGGCGACAATGGCGAAACGACCCAGGAGCCGAACGTCAGCTCGTGACAAGAAACGAGACGTCCGAACCATTTTTAGCTATTCCAATCGTGACAGACATAGCTAGCACTGCTGGTGATCTCTCTCTTTAGTCTTCGCCGCATTCAAGCTGTGAGCATTCTGCTTTCAAGTGAAGACAAAAAACAAAAAAAAATCAAGACAGCCAACAAGAGAAGCCCGAACGTACCAACCGACGACAACCACGGTGCCACCCCCATCCACCACACCACTTACTTTCTCACGGAGGCCAGCTTCGACAGTGGCGCGGAATTTTCGCTCGCGAGAAAGGAGGTCGATGTGAGACTGCTCTTTCTCCTCTGCCCTGAAGCAGAAGAGAAACAAAACAAAAAACAATACGCTTGCACAGTCAGCACTACATGTCCATAGGATGGCGGAGATACTCACCTGGGAAGGCTGCTGATATGCAACACATACTGAATCGAAATGGTTTGGTATGTAGCGGGATTTGTCCGAATAATTCACTCACGCCTTCTGCGCAGCCGCGAAGTCCCCCCGGATTCTCTCCGTCAACAGCCTGGCCGCTCTCAGCTCAGACCTCAGATCCGTTTTGTTGTCGCCAGAGTCTCGCTCCCCACCAGCAGGAGAAGAGCTCGCCAGCACCACCTCCCTCAACACTTGGTCGGACGCCGTTTCGATTGGGCAATCGGGTTTCTCATACGGGTCACGTGCGGACTCGACTCGTTCGTGTTGCACGGAAGTTGGTGGAGTGTTTCCTCGATGGCCCTGTGCGAGATCATCCGCCGTATCTTTCCGTTGAATAACATATCTCTCATCGACATCCCGAAGCTCCCCGTGAGGATCTTCGCCATCAATTTGTGCGCCCTGAGTTCCTCCCTCGCTCATGTCTGGGCACCGCTCACCGGCCTCGTGGTTCTCTTGGTGTACTTCATCTTTCGGCCCTTGAGCCATTCCTTCGGATCCCACGGGTCCCTCAAGTACTACGTCCTTAGCTTCTTGGTTGTGGATTGGCGACGGTCGGAGATGGGTGGCTCCGGAAGCAGCAGCAGCCGCCTTGAGTTCGAGCGTGTGAACATCTCCGGCAAGCTGGTCAAGCACAGCACCCTGCATAAGTAAGAAAGGGGTTATTGAGGTAGCGTAACGGTTGACGTGAGACAATAAACCTGGGACCTACATAGACTACAACAGAGATCCGTTATGTACTCGGAATCAATCGGGGTTGATAATCACATACCAGTCCATTACACGGTCCGAGTTCTCGGTGTTGATATCCCATTTCCTCGACGGCTTCCTCGATACAGGGAAGACGCCTACGCTGACACGCAGGAAAGTAGGTTGGTTTCTGACAAACTCTCTGCCAGAACTTTCCGAACAAGGCAGGCACCGGTCGGTTCTGAAATACTGCCCGCTATGGAGCCCTCAACTTTGGGTGAGCAGAGAGTCCGGAGTGTGGTAGCTATGACCTGCCACCGGAGGCTGGCTATTACCATTAGTGCCATGTGGCGAGGAATGCCAAGCGTGACCGAGCAAACTAAGTCAAGCTAGGGTGGTGCGAAGAGTGGGCGAACCTTCGCGGACTCATTTTCCCAGCCTCCCAAAGAGATTCATCAACCATTCGCAGCTGTTGGGAATCAGAAACAAGTAATGAACCACTGGGAAGAACCATGATCTATTATCGCAGGTCCCTCAGATCCTACGCTTCATGTACGTGTATCTGTGTTTCCCGAATACCCATATGCTGACCTCCACACCATGATCCATTCAGTTTCAGAGACAATATTTAACGACACGAACGAACCTGAAACTTGAGTTGCTCTCTCAGGTGAGCGTTTTCCCTCTCCAGCTTGGTTGCCACCGGTGGCCTTGTTCCTCCCGCCGCGAACGCTACTGCGGGTTCGACCACCTCAATTCCATGAACATTCCCATACCCCGCCCTTCCTTTTGTCACTCGCGGCAAATCTTGCTTGACTGAGTTGGCGTTGTTGGCTCCATGGCTTGGAGCTCTACCTATCGAGCTTGGTGAAACTATTTCAACAGGCACATGATGCACAGACGTCAGCAATAGAGCGTTGTAGACGCCATCACCGTAGGGAGACTATTCCAGTTTGTGGTTGTAAAATTGGGCCAGGTCAACGTTGTACTCTGGCAACATCACGCCCTGTAGCCCGTTCGTGTGAAATTCTAAGAGAGTGTGCATGACACTCGTCCGGGAGCAATAGATTTGCTGTACACACTCGACCCTGGATGGGGTCGCGATAAACGCAGGCTCGAACTGTGCCTAAACTTAGCCATGCGTGCCAACCCTATCGAAAAACACTGTATTTAGCGCGACAGCAGCTCCGGGGTTAGGTCACCCCTAAGCACTGCTGGCACGGCGTTGCCCAGGTATGCTTTAGCTTGATCTGCAAGTCAAGCATGGTCGAGCCGTTTGGACGGCTTGATGGACGGACGTGTGGGTGTTCAGAGCTCAGCATCGTTCAAGGCACGATATGGTTTATGACATGCATGGAACTCCATCGCTGATACTAGGCCTTTGCTCCATCGGCCGTTTTATTTTCGATTTAGATACAAAAACTTTATTTTTATACTAATTTCAAGTAATTTACCTTCTTATTCTCCGTCATACAAACAAAACGGCTGATGGAGCAAAGGCCTAGCTGATACTTGGCCTACATCTTTCCGCTTTCTTTTTTCTTTCATCCCTGCTTCCTTGTGTTTTCTCTTTTTTCTCTTTTTCTCTCTTTTTTCTGTCTTTTTCTGTGTCAGATGGCCTTGTCTCTGCTTGCGTTGTGCAGTACCAAAATTGAACCACGGGGGTGTACCTCTTTCTCTCTGGCCCGTGATACTGACTCCTAGTCTCAGTTGTTACCTCGCATAGCGCGCAGAGGGAACGGAGGACCCCAGAATTTCTGTCGTTGATTTCTATTGACTTGCGGACCCCTCGGGGCCAGTTTATTTTAGTGTCACCTTTTTAGGGTAAGTTAGCCTGCGACCACGGGAATAGACCGCGTCAAGTGTTGGATCAGTACAACAGGCATACTGTATGAATGAACTGGGTAGAGATAGATCGGAACGGTTTTGAATGTGAAGACAACAACAACAACAACAACATTTCGCTCCGAAGAACTGCAGTCACGAATAGGGCTAAGTTCGGAATGAGAATTGCCATTGCCAGTGAGCGCGGCAGAAGAAATCCGTTGGTTAACGAAGATCGAGAAAGATCGTGCCTGCTGTGTGGCTGCGATGGTGACATCTTGCTCACCATTTTGTACCTCTGAGCGGAACAGGTCCAGCAGCCGATTGGAGCTGGGCATCCTCCCGTGACATCACAGCATACTATGAGATTCGGCGGGAGGGGTGAAGGTCGCAGTCGCTTCACATCATAACATACCATATGGTATGGTTGATCGCAACTCCGGTGTTCTATTTGGGAGCAGAGGCGTTTTTCTCCGCACAGCAGTCCAGTTTTGTAACGGCTCAAAAACGTCCGTTGGCCATGTACGTAGTCTAGTCGTCAGTGATCAGCGCGCAAGAAGGGTCAGGACAAAAGGTAGAGCAGTCGGGAAAAGGTTGAAGGGGCCTTGGAAAGCCATGCATGATCTATTCGATCTCTGGTCTATCCGTGTGTTGAACGTACAGTATGTGGTGGCGAAGAGATCAGGATACAGTGCGCGGGGGACCTGTAGTCCACGTACACGACTGAAAGGTGAACTACGCGGGGTGCAGCAAGCACGTTCTGGACGTTGCTTTGGGGCACTGGGTAGCCGGCCGTGTTAGGCCGAGAGAGAGAGGTTGAGAGAGAGGTTGAGAGAGAGATGGAGAAGGAAACTTGATTGGAGACAGACGGTGGTGGTGGTGGAGAGAGAGGGAAGAAGAAGAAGGAGAGGAAGAAGTACGCAGCACGCACGCAAGCCTTCCTCATCATCGCACCGACCACGCCCAAAGGGTCCCCGTGACTACGCCGGTGGTACCCTTCAACACACGAAATTACCAACATGTGTCCCCCTGGGATCCTCATGACCAGATACTGCTGCGAGTATATCTAACACCCCCCCTGCTCGCAACAGTTTCTCAATGAAAATTCGCTAACACCCGATATCTCAACCAAAAGACGTCTTTCCCAGAATATATNTGTGTCCCCCTGGGATCCTCATGACCAGATACTGCTGCGAGTATATCTAACACCCCCCCTGCTCGCAACAGTTTCTCAATGAAAATTCGCTAACACCCGATATCTCAACCAAAAGACGTCTTTCCCAGAATATATACCATGAAGACTTGACCAGAATAATAAAAGAGAGAAAAACAATTCCAAGGAATATAAATGCTGCATCGCGCTTCACAAATACTTGGCGCGGGAAATGAAACAAAACGGGAAACAGAACAAAATCAAAACACAACCCATCAGAAAAACAATAAAATGTTCATGCCAAATTCATCACAAATTCACGGTGAGATTCGAAAGCATCCTTCGACAAACTCTTCGTAAGAAAGTCTGCACGCTGGTGCGGCGACGGCACGTGGATGACCGAAATTTCCAAGGGCGGGTTCTGTAGGGTACGGGTAATCTCTGTAGGGTACAGGGGGTATCACAGAACCATCCTTGATATTCTGTAGGGTACGGGTGGTGATACAGAACGCACAGAATAATCCTGTAGGGTACGGGGATGATACAGAACTTTCTGTGCAGATAGGGTATTGTGAATGGACGTCACAGAACTTTCTGTAGGGTACGGGGGATGATACAAACTACACAGAACTATTCTGTGGGGTACGGGGATGATACAAACTACACAGAACTATTCTGTAGGGTACGGGGATGAAACAGAACGCACAGAATAATCCTGTAGGGTACGGGGATGATACAGAACTCTCTGTGCCTCTCTGTAGGGTAATAACAGAGGGTAATTACCCCCGGTATAGGTCTGTGAGTACCCTACAGAACCCGCCCTTGGAAATTTCCTTCCTCTCTACCAGTTCCCTGAGAAAATGGTGCCTTACATCTATGTGCTTCGAGTTCGAGTTTGAGATGGGGTTCTGCGCTAGTTGAATCGCCCCCTGGTTGTCCTCGAAGATGGGGATGCACGGCATGCCGACCCGCGGCAACATGAAACGCCAAATCTGCCTCAAAAACAAAAAAAATCTCCTTCACTACGTCACCTAGGGCGACGTACTCTGCTTCTGTGGTCGAAAGCGTGACACACTTCTGCGTTCTGGAAAACCAAGACACAGCGCCTCCTCCACACGTCACGATCCCCCCTGATACCGACCTACGGTCTGCTGCCTTGCTTGCAAAGTCCGCATCAGCGTACCCCTGCAAGCTTAATCCCTCCACCCTACCTCTCTGAAACGAAATAACAAAGTGACTCGTCCTCCTCGCATAGCCTAAAATATCCATCGCTGCATTCCAGTGTACCAGATTCGGAGATGCGCAATACCTAGCTACTGCCCTTACTTAATTTGCAATGTCTGGCCTAGTCTGAGTCGCCAGCCACATTAATTAACGATCCTACCAGCTCACGAAACGGAAAGTCTGTCGCCTCATCCGCATCAAAATCAGAAAGCTTCACCCCCGCAGACATCGGAACGCTCTTACCTCCCACTACTCCATATTCTGCTGCTAGCTCATCCGTGAAATTCTGCTGAGAAATCGTCAACCTACCGGTCTCCTTGTTCCTCTCGTAAAAGCACCCAGAACACCATCTCAACTCTCCCAGGTTCTTCACTGGCACGGACTTGTCAAGGTCGGCGCCAAACTTGTCACATCTCTCCCTCTCTCCCACAGCAAAAATGTCATCTACATGTACTACCAAAATCAAAACACATCCATTTTCAATCAAACGAAACACACAAGCATCGGCCATTGTTGTTGTTGTTGTCTTCACATTAAACCGTATGACAGTTGCCAAATGCCAAAATCTAGCAAAAGACTCTCAGCCCGTGGTCACGAAAGCGCTAGAGCCATCTGAGGATCTAAAGAACACGCACACATATAACGAGAAAAAGGTATCCAAGAGCCCGAAGAGGTACACCTTAAAATCCCTGCAGCACCGTATGCGTGCCCAAAAACTGAACTGCACGTCCGTCCCACCGTTCGACTACAGCAGTAGCATCACCCCCTCCCTGTCCCACTCTATACCAAAACGGAAGATTGCCGACTAC